CCTTCTACTGATGCTGGCTGGGAATAGACCTGACAAAGAGATTGAGCATTGCCCATTTCCGAGGACAACTGGTTCTCAAATCCTGTAAAGAGTGAAGCGGCTGATAGAGGGCCCGGTGAACTGAGACTTCGAGATCGCGACTGGCTGTCCGGATAGGTACTCGTAGAGGTGCCGCTAGGCAACTCCAACATCGTCGGAACGGGTGGCGGCTCGATCTTCAAACCCATGGCCTCAATGGACTGAGCGTAGACACCGGTCTCCGGTTCCAGTTTAATCAGCGGTGGTCGCTGCTCCGCCACTGGTGATAGCTGCTTCTCGACGACGGCCATGTCCGTGGAAAAGGCGTTAAAGCCTGGATCATACGTTCCTGCGGATGGTTGGATCGGGACGCTCTCTTCAACCGCTTGCATTGGCTCTTCAACATAAACAGGTTCTGAGCTGACACTTAAAAATACCTCTTGCTGTTGTTTATGTGCTTGTGTTTGTTGTTCCGGTTGTTGCGGCTGCTGTGACCGTGCTGGTTGGTCGAAATTGCTCATAAATTCGCTATAAAAGTTATGCGACTGTCTGAGTGCGTCCAGTTGTTGTCTTTCTTGAGCCCGGAGAGCGAATCGAGCCGCATCTTCCGTGCGTTGATACTGATGATGCACAACGGTTTGGGGGTTCGGCGAGGAACCAAAGTCAACAGGGTTGTCATCTGATGAGGGATAACCCACATTGTAACCTGCGGTGGAAAATTCCCCACACAGGCTACTTCTGTAGTCCTGACCACTGTTCACCTGCGTCGGTGATGTTGGTGCCTGTTGCTGTTGTCTCACGGTCTCTGATGACGTCCTTGTGGTGTTTGTGGTGGTTTGCACTGTCGACGTTGTTGCTGCTGCCACCGCCGCCTCCTCGTGGGGGACGTCATAAATTTCTGCGTACAGCGGTGCCAAAGTGGTACGATACCAGTTCTCGCGATACCACCTGATGCTTAATTGTGCTGCCTGACCAAGGCTCGTAAGTTGATTAATTGCCAGAACAACCTGCGCTAGTCGACCATTTTGTGCGGAAGATTTTTCCAGTTGAAGTCTTAGGGCAGTCAACAGGCGATCCTGAATGATGGCAATCTTCGGTGGATCCGAGAGACCTGGTCGATCTAGGCAAAACAAAATGTTTGCATGACACTCGAGCTTATCTTTAACCATTGCATACATTTAGAGTATGTGTTTACTTAAATAAATTAAGTAGCTCTTTTACTAATACACAAATTAATTTCCTCAACGGAGCATTTACGGGGGCCAAACCTACAATATATTCCGTCCGACTTGGTTATTTCAAAGACTCCTTACGTACCCGTTTTGAATGAAAAGTTCCATTGGAATACACGTCGTGGGAAGCCGGACTGAAGCGCTTGGAATTATCTAATGTGCAATTGTGGGCTGTGCATTTGCAATCCCCGTGATTTTGCGTGACAGCTAAAACGTCCGTTTAAGGTTTTTGTAGCCTTTCGGACCAAATTTCATTGCTGATGCTCTCTCCACGAAAGCATGTGCATCCAATTACTGAAAGGCTTTATTGTTCTGATAGCTGCGACCTAGATACATTGCTAATAAAATCGTGCACGCTTAAAGTTAATTGAGGCGAGTGCAGAAGGCTGTCATTGTACACCGTCTATATGCAGTAATCCCGAAGATTCTGATAGTTCTATAAAGCACTCTATGTTTATACTCTATTACTAGGACTTTTACGGGAAAAGCGCCCATAAAATGACAGAAACTCACCTGGCTTTGTAAGCACAACTGCGCAAAAGAGGCCGATTTCCACATCATTGAGGCCCAGAGCACAAAAGTTCTCTGCGAACTCGAACATCATGCAGACCAAATTTGGCTAAAGAAAGTAGGAGAGAAAAAAATCGTTCAGTCGAGTAACCAGGACATAAACTATATAGTGGAAAACAAATATTAATATTCCAAATGTACACTTCTTCTAGGCAAACATGTCCACGGAATCTTTTCGCAAATAAATGTAATCTGATCGTACTGAATCATGTTTCAAGCAATAGCTTAAAATAAGCAAAACCCCCTGGAACAGCTTTTGTCTTCTGAAATGTTACACTTTATATTAACTTCCTCTGACTATATGATGCCTTGAATCGTCAGTTGCCTTATCGAACCCTATCGGTGCACATGAAGCTAACATGAAAAGAAGGGGGTGTTAGTGATACTGCTAATGACGGTATTAACGCGTGTACTAAGTTCGGGTAGCAGCTACGAGACAAACAGACAAACAAGCAGCATTATTATTATTAGCAGTACTAGCAGAAGTTACTGCTTTTGTGTACATCGTAATGGAGTTGTTCCCCGTTTCGAAGTCCTATTCAACAAGTGGTGATAAGCTTTATGCCATTGGTTGGTTATGGCAAAACTATTCGGATCCTTTTGGTCCGAGGCCCCCACTACAGGGTCCTTCGATATCCTTACCGGGATGTCAGTGTAGTGAAATGGCATCCAAAAACACTACTAGAACTTAGGTTAAAACTCTGCCACCGTAACTTCG